TCCTTTCTTCTTTTATCAGTGAACCACCTATAGGAAGCTGTTCTCTTTGACAAGAGAAAAAAATTTTTGCAACGTCTTTATTAGTGCCACAGAATAAGGGACTTCACTTGGCTGTGTCCGGCAACCCAATCCAGCAACCCACTGCTTAGACATATTGTCGCCTTGAATATACCGAAGCGTCATGCCCAACATCCTGCGGCCTAAATTGCTGAAGCCGTTGGTGAACACCGAGCGCTATCACAGAGATACATCACAGCCTCGTGACCTCGGTAATTGGTAGGAGCGGACAGCGTTCTCTAAAAAACCGTGTCTAATGTGCGAATGGGTCATTCCGGCCAGAAAGCCTTCCCTGCCTACTTTCTAGAAACTCTCGTGAGGTCGTTCTTTGCCAGCGAACCCTTCTTCCGGTTCGTGATATTGCTGGAAAATGATATTTTTATATTTATATTTTCTCACTATACTGTAGTGCTTGTCCTGTTTTTTTTGAAAAAGCACCTACACTATAAAATTGCGAGGGTGTTCATTGTGGAATGTGTAAAGCAAATTCTGAATATAATTCCCAAAGGTTTTATTTAAAATTTTGTCGAGAACTATCTGCCTTCTACGGGGACGACAAGCTACACGCGAAGCAGTCCCAAATAGCAGTTTTTCTGTCCCTTCATAGAACGAGATGTAGACAGACAATGCAGACCCAGAAAATACAGAGATGAAAGCTAACGTTTAACACTTGTGCTAACAAAATCGAGCCACGCTGTCATGTCACTGGCAAGTTTTATTCACCGAGAGTGCCAGTGTACAATGGCCGAGAGCCCTCTCTCTGCTTGCCCTCTTCTGTAAAGGATGGCCCTAACAATGATGCCTCCAGCCAACATTCTCAATGTTTCACGGTTCCATGTGTTTCGGGAATCAGCGAGTAACTGGCCAGTGTGTTGGGGAAGAAGGGTATCCCGTTAGCTCACAAACAAGCTTCAACAGTTGGGCGACACAATCACGACCAAAGCCCCGGCTGCCGAAAGAACGATTCCTCAAACTATCTACTTCAAGTAAGAGGAGGTGCTTGTATTACATCTTCATATAAATGAGAACACCGTAATTAGATATCGATATCATTGCCCTGAAACGCCCTCGTTTCCGCCCCACAAGGCGACTAAGCTGTTAGGCTGAGTGCAGTTGTGTACAAATAACTTGTAGGTGAATTCAAGCAGCCATTTGGACATGTTACGTAAAAGATTGTGCGATGCACTTTTGTACCTTCTCAATGTGGTCGCTTTAAATTCGAGACATCTGCTAGCGAATCAAAGGAATTTTCACTGTTTTACAGCAGAATATGTTATGTGTTCACTGTTTTAGAGCACAAGATGGTATGAGAAAACAACAACCAACTTTGGTGCCACCATTCCCCGCCAGTGCCACTGCTGTGCGTAGCCGCTATCTTACGATATAGGACAAAAACATCCAGCAGTTCCCACGTACCTGGCAATCAACGTTATGCGAAGCATGTGTAGGGAAGGTGACGGTGTTGCATTTTTATATGCCGCAACATGTCATGAAATGATGGTAAATATATGTACAAATGTTCTTGCTCAGACACTGGCATTTTATATTTGCATTTGTCTTGCTAATGCTGCCTATGAAGCAGCTTTTTCTTAACGCGCAAGAGTGAAAGCTACTCATATGTTTTTTCGCTGTTCATGGGTACACATAAAATGTATATCACCTGTGTTACATTCCCGACCAACGGTATGTGCCACTGTTGTTTGAAAAGTGTTTGACGACGTACGTGACGAGATTGTGTCATTATTCATGTCATGACCAGCGTGTCATATTTCTCAAGTTCTCCTACCCTCCCATAAATATTTTGGTGCCGCAAGTTAAGGGGGTGTTCATGAGAGTGCCCAGGCGTCAGAGCATAGATAGATAGATAGATAGATAGATAGATAGATAGATAGATAGATAGATAGATAGATAGATAGATAGATAGATAGATAGATAGATAGATAGATAGATAGATAGATAGATAGAACCAATGCAGTGTTTCCATGGCTGAGGTACAACGCAATAAACAAAATACATGAGAAATAGACCGTTCAATTTTATATACGCACTAATAACAGTGCAAACAGCGAAAAAATGGACGTTCTAGCATTGAAACAACAAGTTCAGCAACAAAACAACTCTGTTATCGTCTTTATTTTCGACAGATATAACCCTGCGACAAAATTGACGCTTTAGGTATGTACTAACGTTTTTCGAATAGCTAGCATGGTAAGAGGATCAGACAGAAAATCACACAAAGTAAGAGGATCGCATGAAGATCGCACAAAAACTCCAGAAAAGGTGAAGCATCCTTTCTGTTTTCTTTTAATTTGACAGCGTTTTCACTGGAATGATCTTCTTCTGGTAAATAACGACATTGGGTGTTTTAGGGCAGCACAATCGTCTTGCTCTCGCGGTATATCTCTCCTAATCAATAGCTATATGCTTTTCCTATCTTAGGTCAGTTCTCGTTACCGCTCCCGGTTGTTCAGTCCCTTCCGGTTTTGCCTTCTTTTCTATTTAGAGCCTGAATAAGCAATGCGCCTGTACCCGTTCGGTTATCAAATCATACCAAAAAACCCTTGGAGGACATGCCTATCGTCCCCGTCATATCAGTGCGTACAAGACGAAGAATTTCACTTTAATATTGTCGACGGGGGCTTGCTACGTCCCACCCGAAAACACGAACAATTTATACACCTACACGCTGCATACGACAAGGTTGGTATGCAGCGTGTAGGTGTGTCACGTGCACCACTGACCCTTTCTAAGAGCGCTTGTGGGTCACGTGCACCACCACTGCGCCACCGCTGACGCTATATCTGGATAGCCGGTGTGCAAGGTTCCTACAAGCTTTTTTGTCCGCAATCTACCAGGAGGACAGTAAGATCTCATTGCACCAATTTTAACATGAAGGCGGCACGAATTCATAGCTTGTATTTTTCATTGCCCAACAAAGCTGCGCCATCTTCTGCGAAGGCACGCTTCTTTTTCTGGTTGTAATTTGAACGCGGAACCTGTGTAACAAACCGTTTCATCTTCCCCCGTACAAAAAAAAAATTATCATCTTCATGAAGGAGTATATTCTACACAAACTTAGGTAAATCCTACCACTCACCAATGACCCTCTAAATATTGGAAAGGCAACAGTGAAACAAACAAACTGATTTGTACCACAGTAGTTTGTGCGGCCTATGCAATATCATTATCATGGAAAGGATTACGCCACAGAAGTTGGGTAATCGCCACTACACACAACTTCCGCAAAATGGGAACAGGACTGAACAGAGGACAGAAACGCGACAACGGTGAGTCGAATACCTCCAGAACGTACAACGAGAAAATACAAGGGGTCAAAAAGTGCATTGGTAACGTGCTCGCGTCGTGTCACGGACTACATGCGGTCTTACTATACTCCGTTTCATACATCAGGTGCAACGCTGTGAAGGCTAGGCAAGTAGTCCGTAAAGAAAACACGAGGTGTTGCTCCGCGCGGTTTCGTAGCCGAGTGGTCTGACGCGTCACTCCAGAGAGTTCACCGTAGTTTTGAAGAGCATGGGTTCGAATCCACGTGGTGTCATTTTTTTATTATTTTTGCGAGTTCAATTCGAAATCTTGTTTTTTTTCAGTAACTTCAAATTACTTGCACGCGGAAGTGAACTGCATGTATCTATTCATATGTAGCATACCGTGTTCCCTTGTGAGGGCCGGAACCTGGTGAGCTGGCGCCGAGGTTTGACGAGCACGGCGATTTTGTCGCGATTATACCGCATTGTCGGTTTACCTCGTTGATGTGAGCGAGTACTGCGTGTAAGATGACGTTAATTCATTGATTAGGTAGCACAGCAGCTGCAATGAGGCTGGGTTTACGACAGGTGCTCACCTTCAACTTTTGTTTTCGTCATTTCCCCGATGATCTACTTTTCTGTGCCGCTCTTTAAACACTCAGCAGGTTATTGATTATAGCGGGCCGCCGGCAGAGAAGGCTGTTGCAAAACACTGTAGCAAAACTGTAGCAAAACAGTGCGGAATCGACCTTCTACTGCACTGTGCGGTATTCCAACGCACTTCGTGCGAGTAACGAATAATATGTTATTCAGGGAAAAGGAAAGAAAGCAAATTTGTGTAGCTCGGTATAGTGATTTTGGCACACAAACGCATAAAACATTTCCTAGACTTGGTATTCGCCCGTTTACTGTCTTAATATATGCGACATTTTTGTGAATAGTTATGCGCGATTTATTTCTTCAGTATAATTCCAACCCATCCTCTTTCCCGCAAGTAAGAGTTCCTTTTTTATCGTTCAAAAGAGAGTTTCAGCTAGGCTGTTATTCAGCAGAAACTCTAAATTTTAATTTATGCGTCAGTCGTTTTTTTTATAAAAACCTGGATATGGCCTGTTTTTCTCGGTTGAGAAAATCTTTATGGTATAGGGTAATTCAGTGCCCAAAAATTGTACTGGTTCAAAAAGTTGGAGATTTGTTTCATACATACATACATCCAGGGGCAATACTTATTGCGTGCGATGGACCGATATTCCAAACGGATGACGACTTTTGTGGTTTAAAAAACGCAAACTTTATTAACAGAAGAGCACCTCGGGCCGATGTCGTGGTGGGTTCCATCTTCTTTTTTTCCTTTTTTATACCAAGTTTTTACAGAGGTCATGTGACCATTCCGAACGTTTGCACTTCACAACAAAACATAAATAAGGTAATTATTAGGGAGCAGTACAGTGCAGTGTCCTTCCTAGCCCGGGTCACTTGGCGACGTTAAACCCAACACACAAAATCACACGATGAGGAAGCACTCTTTGCTTTGTCATAATAACACAGCCTTCTTGGAGAATGAGCTCAGCATGAAGCAGCACGAGCAGGTTCGCTAGAAAGGTGTCCACAATCCAGCTCAACCAGTCGACCCTCGTGAACATAGCCACCACTGACAGGCCGCACATTCCTCGAAAGTCAGCAAAGTTCTTCAATGTCACTCAACTCGTCATCACTGAACTGAGCACCCGACTCATCGGAGAAGGAGTTGCACGAATCACAAATGCAGAACACAAGTGGTTCGATTTCACTACCCACAATCATGTCCTGTTCCCATGCTTCAGCTTCAACTTGCTCTACATGAGCGCAGCAATTTTGCCACTTTTCCTGTTTTACAGATGCCAGTGCTTCTGGCAGAAGCTTTTCTACTTCAGCCAAAGTGAAACCCGTATTCCGTGCTGCGATGTACCCTTTTACCTGGCTCCAAACAAGCTCGATTGGGTTGAACTTGCAGTGGTATGGTGGTACACGAAGCACTTCATGGCCGTGGGTAGCCGCCAGAGTGTCGATGCGGTACACAATACTGGGTGTGTTGACCTTTTGGGAAAGTTCCAGCAGTTCAGCTCTCACCATGTCCTCTGACCACGGAACACCTTTCTTTGTGAGCCAAAGCTGAAAATCAGCTTTGCGCGTCGACTTGGTAGGTGCTTTTTCAAGAGCTACGCTGTGGTATGGCGCATTGTCCATGACAATAACGCTATTAGGCGGAATGTTTGGCAAAAGCTTGTCGGTAAACCACTCCTCAAAGTATCTGCCATCCATCTCAGAGTGGTAGTCAGCGCTGCCCCCCTTTTTTGCTCGGAAGTAGTCAGCAGCTCCTTCGATGAAACCAGTTGCACTGCTGCCAGCATGTATGAGGATCAAACGGGCCCCTTTGCCCGAGGGTGCAGCCAATCCTGTCGTCAGACCTTTGAGGAAGGCATCTTGCGATGACTTCACAGTCGTGTCCTGCCAAACGTACTCCTTCGTGTGCCCTGCGTTGACCCATGTTTCATCCAAGTAGATGATGCACCTGTACAAAGAAAAACGAACGAGCGCACGAGTTAGCGCACACAAGTAAACATACCCACAGCAGCAGCTTGAGTCTTGGCATGACCATAGTCTGAAATACTGCAAAGGACAACTTGAGCAAAAAGTACAAAAAGCATTCATATGCATATTCTATTGTTTTGTTACCCACTCATATGCTGACTGCTCTTTCGTAAACAGCTGCTTAGCGTCAATCGAGGAAAAAAACGGTCGGCGTCAGTGCTTTCTTTAGTCGGGCTTTAATTCGGCACGTAGGTGGCATTTGGCTGTCAGTTATGATTCATGGCAAGTTCACATGTCACACATGCGGTATTCGGTAAGAATTCATTGGCCGTCGCTATCATTTTGCACGAATGGAAACAAAAATAGACACCGAAATTCCCAACAATACTGCCAGTAACTCGCATCTTTCATGGAAATGAGCGCTTACCGCACCAAACGGCGGAGATTTAGCGAATAACTCTCACCTATTGAGGCAAATACCCTCACCCAACAAAACAAAAGTCGTGAAATGCGACCTGCAAGCAATTACCTTGCTTAACCATTTTCTTTTTTCCAGGTTGTAATTCAGATGTAATACTCTCCATTACGATTATAAAGTTGCAATGCTAACATCAAGTTTTATATCAAGGCAATCTACATGTGCTGCGTAAGGAAATATGAAAATAACGGTTCCCACCTGCCCTGCCCTCGGAATTTCTTGATCGACCGCAAGTACCTGCGACGCCAGGCAATGATGTCACTGCGCTCTATTAGCGCAAGATTCCGTTTTCTCTTAGCAAAGGTGAAGCCGATGTCCTTCATTAGCCTCCACAAGGTGGTTTTCGTGAAGTTCGGCAAGTCGTCGTCTTCGTTGACAGCCCTTATCACACTGTCCAGTGTTGGGATCTCCCTCTTGGCATACATGCTGTGCACTTTCAGACGGATGGCATGGATTGTCAAGCTGTAATGTTTGACGGTTCGCGAGCTCGAAATCTTCACCTCGCGAGCTCGTTTTTTCGGTGACACCAAAGGCCCACGCAGACGCTCCGCCTTCAATTTCCCCACGGTACGGGGAGATATTTCAGTGTCCTCACTCACAACACTCAGCACTTCCCGCACAGATTTCTCCGGGAAACGCATCCTGGTACGGGCGTACACAGTTGCAATTACTTGCTTGGCGTGCTTTGACAGCTTTGATGTGCGAAGCTTCGAAAAAATTCGCGCAGGAGAGGTGGTCGAGGACGCAGAGCTGGACGCCATTTTTCGAAGCTGCCACAACAAGTAAAAAAAAAACGGTGGCGCGGGTCGCGCGGAGAGCGAAAACCTGATACGAAAGCGACAAACATAAAGTACCAACTCGCATATTTGGATTGTTTATCGGACAACACAGGCGTTTGTTTTTTAACCCGATGACAAATTTGTATGCTTGGAAGTTTCCCGAGAAGCATTTATTGATTCTCGTACACCCCAAGCGACGCACTACTTTTTGGTCGCGGCAGTACACAGCGCAAACAAGAGCGCTAGCTTTGACAGCGTTGCACATGATGTATGAAACGGAGTATAGAACCTTTCTGCGCTTCGAATCATACATAAACATCTTACCAACACCTACCTATAGAAAAGTAACAAAATTGCAGCATTGTAAAAACAATCAGCGTCACCTAAGGCCTGAAACAACTTGAAAACAACCAGGTTACTGTTCACAATCGTCCAGTTTCAATGTTAAAACGTTTGAATGGCTCTGTGGAGGCTTCATTTTTTTCAAACGTGAGATCACCCAGTTTTTCCTTTTCGTTATTTTTCTTTTTCCAGTGCGCTTACGTGCATATTGCGAAATACGTAGAGTATTGCGTCCATTACGGCCCAATGTGTTCATGAGACAAAAGCGAAGTTGCCTGCACAACTTATCAAATATGCGCTGTCTACGGCAACACTTTTCCGTTGTTTCGAAACAAACTAAACAGCATTTCTGGTTAAGGTAGCAGAAGATGTATTGGGAATCAGCAAAACACGCAGAAGAACATTACGCGAAAGTCATAAGGCCCGATATTTCTTCTCGTGTCTCCGCCATTCTGACAGCTAGACACCCACATTCCACACCAGGATTCAATCGTCTGCTTTAGTTTTTTTAATGATCTATACTTCGTTACAGTAATACTGAACGTATGTCACCGAGCTTTATTGCGGCGAGCGGCGAGATTCGTCGAGCATTGCGACAGTGGACTTTTCTGTGAAGAAATTTCAATTGTAAAGTAGCAGAAAGAAAATTAGAGCCCGATATGAATGAGGCAATCGATGACTGCAAGTTCGATAGCCCTGCCTAATATTTAGGGGCGAAGCTTCTTAAAGCGGCACCCAACCGACCCTCGTCGTAGCACGTAACATGTCACACTTTGACCTGCAAGGTGGTGCCGGTGGGAGAATTCTCCTGTGCGTTGTTGAACAATAAAAAATTCAGAGCGTGCGCGTTAACAAAAAGCCGAATTCTCCTGTTTCTCAATCCCCATTAGCAGCCATTGGCATGTGCATTGAGCACTACCTGACAAGAAAGGGTTGCTACGTTATACTCGCTGGGCGTAACCTCGTTGGTTTTAGAAAGGTTTAGCGAGCGATGGGCCGCAGTGCCATGAATACAGTGAACTACTATATATCATCAACTCGAGGTGGTTAAAGGTGGGAAGTAGACACAAAGCGCAAGCCGTAAGAAAGTGTGCGTGTACCACCTCTCGCTTAGTCCTTAGAATGTCTGCTGATGGCGGTGGTTTTATATGCGGAGTATATGATGAAAAGATGCGAGATGGTGGTACTTGGAGTATTGACTAGATAGATGAATGGACCCCCAGACATATATGCATGGATGGACGCACGGATGACTGCATGGACGGATGGACGCATGGACAGACGCAGGGGCGAATGCATGGACGAACGCAGGAACGGACGCATGGATAGACGTGTGGACGCATAAACAGACGCACGCACTGACGGGCGGATGGACGCACGGACGGTCACACAGACAGGCGCATTGACGGACGGAAGCAAGAACGAATGGATGGACGGATGCTTCGCCCCACTCTCCCTCATTAACCCCGTGGTTATGCTGCCATTTTTTATAAAAGAAGTAGCTTTTCTGAAGGACACCAGCAGGTACCCAATTGAAAGGAGTGACGTAAGCCCCCATGATGCCGCAGTGAATCTATGTCTTCTTTGGTTTCACATTCACTTTCAAATGCAAAGCATTTCTCGGCGTAGTTACCGTGTCTGTCTGTCTGTCTGTCTGTCTGTCTGTCTGTCTGTCTGTCTGTCTGTCTGTCTATCTGTCTATCTATCTATCTATCTATCTATCTATCTATCTATCTATCTATCTATCTATTTGTCTATCTAGCCGCCTACGACCTTTAGCTCTCCTGGCCGTTTCGTTAATGGTATCGATATCAAATTTGGTATGGCATAACATCACTGCATGACCAGCAAAATTCACTAGTCATAACATGACTGTAATGATACATATGCCATGAATGTCAAATATTTTTTTCATGGTCTTGCAGCTCTTGCGGTGGATTCGTTCACAAGGCATGTTGAAAAAAAAATTGCCCGCAGCTTCCCTCGGGGGAACACTGAGGAGGATGCGGAGCATATAATTGGTTAACGGGGTGTTAAAGTGCGACTTACTTGGGTCGATGGCTAAATTGGTTAACGTGGTTGTGAAATGGGGTGTTAAATTGCGACTTACTTGGGTCGATGGCTAAATTGGTTAACGTGGTTGTAGGAGGGGGTGTTAAATGAGTGAACACGTACACACGTATGCGAAAGGGCGGCGCTGGTCGAAGGGACGTCGATCATTGTGTTTGTGGATTCGTTGGAATTCATTTCACCGCGACCTTGGATGTCGACGCGCCGTACAAACCAACCGACGAGCGGCAACTGAGCGAGCGAGCGCCGGCCTTGAGTATATATACAGCGCGACGGCGCATGCACTGTCAGCTGTCGAATGTTCGAGAAGGGGGAGAAGCGCAACGGCGCATGCGCGCGCGTCAGCTGCCGATGTTCTCGAAGCGCGACGGCGCATGCGCGCGCGTCAGCTGCCGATGTTCTCGAAGCGTGACGGCACATGCGCACTACATTATACAGCTAGTGAATGTTCGTGAAGAGGAGAAGCGCACGCGGTGTGTAGAGGAAGAAGGGTGCACAGATGGTGGAGGAGTGAAGCGCGCGCGGTGTGTAGAGGAGGAAGGGATGCACAGATGGTGGAAGAAGGAGGAGGACGGCGCCGCACTACAAGCCTCGAGTATTAGATGCTCCGCATCTAAAACTGTCATGGTATGACCGTGAAGCATGACGAATACAAGTGACAGACTCTAACGTCGAAGTCATGACTACGCGCCACGCACATGCGGCGCTCGCGGTCGTTTTGCGAGCTTCACATATACCAAATTTGGTATTACGGGACGTGAATGCATGATGAAGGTATATGACTGCTGCAAACATGATAGTCATGAGATGCGTGTCATGTTTCAACATGAGTACAAGCCATGCCCATGATACGCTCACGGTTGTTTGGCTAGCTTTATATACAAAATTTGGCATTACGGGACGTAAATGGATGACAAAGGTATGTGACTGGTGCAAACGTGGTAATAATGAAATGCATGTCACGGTACAACATGACTAGATGCCACGCTCATCATGCGCTCATAACCATTTCGCTAGCTCCGCATTTTCCACGTTGGGTATTACGTGACGCGAACGTCAAAGGTATATGAAATGGAATGAAAAAAAAAATTGCAGATCCCCCGTACCTGGGAATCGACGTTATGCGAAGCATGCGGGGAAAAGGTGATGGTGTTGCGTTGTTTTATTGAGCGACACGTCAGGAAATGACGCTAAATATCTGTACAAATGTTGCACACACATATATATTTTCAAGAGTTGCTGATGTTTATATAACCAGTTGTTCACACTTGTGCAACGATGACAACTGGAACATGGGTATATTAGCAACACCGGAAGCTGATATGGAGCGCTGATGCTCGCGAAGATGCTGGCCCTGGACACTGCTACATAAATCAACTTCAGCGCATAGCGAGTAACTGCAATTTACATTAACCTGACGTGATGTCTGTAACGAAGCAGTGCATAAGTACTGTTTAGAAAATTAGTTAGGCAGCACTGCAACCACACGTGACCTTTCACAAAGATTAGCGCCTATTTAACAGTACTTCCGAGACCGGTCGTAGCTGGGTGGTAGAATGTTTGACTGCCACGCGTAATGCGAGGGATCGATACCTGCTGGGACCCTGAAATTTGTTACTTGCATTTATTCGGCAGTCAACGTTGCCTATGTCAGGTATTTCTTTACACTTACGTTTATTCTATGCCTTCGTCGGGTCGACGCTACCGATGTCGGGTATTTTTTTACGCTGACGCATTAAAATTCGCCCTGTGTTTTCTCGTCATTTCTGGGAACACACTGAGTGTCCATCGCCTGTGGCACATACCCGCATACCAGCGGCGCATACTCGCCCACGAGTATGCCACTGTCTGGGGAAAAGTGTTGGATGACGTATGCGACGGGATTGTAACAATATTCATGTCTCGACCAGCGTGTTATATTCGTCAAACCATCTTACCCTCCCATGCTGATTTTGGTTCATGCCAAGTGAAGGGGGTGACCTTGAGAGCAGCCAAACATAAGCGGCTAGATAGATAGATACGCTCAATGTCGCCGAAGTTCGCTAAGAAAGTCTTCGCGTTTAAAACTTTATTTATTGAAAAAACATCCAAGGATGATAATCATGACATGCATCTCATGTGACAGGAAGACTGTATGCTACGCTTTTACTGCACTCGCAGTCGTTTTGCTAGCTTCTCATATACCAAATTTCGTTTTACGGGACGTCATGGATAACTAAAGCATATGACTGGTGCAAACATGATAATCTTGGCATGCGTGTGATGCAAGAACATGACAGTATACCACCCTTATTATGCTCTGGCGGCCGTTTCGCTAGCCTGATATACACCAAACTGGGTATTGCGTGACGCATCCGGATGGCAAAGGTAATTAACACGTCGAAACAAGATAATCAGGATATGCGTATCATGTGTATCATGTGAATTATGACTACTTGCTACACTCATGC